GTGGAACTCGGTGGATAGCCCACTGGTAAAAGTTCAGTCCATGTTGTTAAATCTGTGGCGAAAAAGAGTTTCAAAGTATGGACACATTTTCTCATAACAGCTATCAAAATATGTGACTGCCTGTATTTTAGCCTCTCTTCCCTTGTCAGTAATTTTTTTTTTTTTTTTTTTTTTTTTTTTTTTGATGGACTGTCAGAATTATGAAATCTTTTCTATAAATAATTAACTATAAATTGTAATATGGTTGATGAAAGCTGTCAGACTATGTGTCCTTCTGTATTTCAGTCCAGGTTCATAAAAGCACTCTGGAATCTTTAATGGTTGCATAATTTGGTGTTTGCCTACGGAAAACAATTTTCTTCTTAAAACTTGAGCATTCTAGCACCACCCTGAATTTATTTAGCTCCATTACAGTGTCTAATAAACGCATTAGTGCCTTCATTAGACACTACCAGATGTATGTAAACTAAAATCTTGGAGCAGATAAATTAGTAACTCCCTCCTGTGATGATTTTCTCCGATTCAAGTATGCCGGAGAATGTGCCGCCAGCTGGGGGCGCTCTATCTTTCAAAACGAAATGGTACTTATTGAATGTCTGCTAGCGTTTCACTGATAGGTGGCGCTACACAACTGTAACGTTAAACTTTAGGTGGAGCTGGAAGATTTATATCCTACACGGCTTTCCATATTCTGTAGGCTTGCCTTAATCAACTTTATCTGAGTGCCTAGACGGCCACTAGGGGGAGACATTGTGCATTCATTCTTCTACACTCTGCTCATTCCGTTAAATGAATCTATGCTGCTACTGACAGGGACTTTTCACACCTTCCTGTTACTTTGCAGTGAGTTAAACCTCTGTTGAAATGTGCTTTATTTTTTTATGAGATGTCCATCGTTTCCTAAACGCTGTTCACACTGGCCTTACTTTAACCACCAATAAAAACAGTTTCTAACAACACAGAAATCTTGTGTGATGAAATGTTGGGACGGGCATACAGTGAATGTTTATTAATTTACACCATCATCAGGCGCCGTGCACTTGTGCGGAGGAGGGAGGTCGGATCGGCCCTGTCTTCTATATTTAACTCGAGCTCCAAACGGCGAGAGCCGTACGTGGAAAGGTCTCTCTCTCCTTCTGTGGCGTGGGTATGAGCGGGCTGCTCGCTGTCCGACAGCCCTCCTTTTAATGCGTTTCTGCCAGTGAAGACACGCCGGACAGGAGGGAGTATAACGGGTAAGGTTGGTCCAGCAAGAGGACATTAGACCGGCTTCAGATGATGAGATCGGGCTCTTTGTGGACGAGATTTATTTAAATCGTTTAGATGCCTGTGTTGAGGACTGCTTCTTCCTTAGGACGCAGATTTCTTTTCTTTTTTTTTCTTTTATGGCAGATGACATGTGAAATGTGTAGGTCTTTACTTCCGCTTGGTGTCTCAGTGTAGTGGATAGATCTTCAGTTTGAGCTGACTCAAGTTAAGGATTTAAAATAAAACAAGGTCAACCATGATGAGGTGGGTGTACGGAGCCGCTTTGCGTGTGTGCTTCCACACTTATTCACATGTTCATTTTGTTTACATGGATGGTGTAATGTAATGATGATCTCCGAGCGGTCTTTGCTTATAAAATTAGACAATTCATCATCATACCCTTTCTCTCTGAAACAAACCTTGGGATAGCTGCTTCGGACGCACAAAAGGTCATATATAAGTTTCTCTGAATACATGTGTTATTTGTCCTTGTGGCTGTAAAAGTCACTCAACTTGCTCTCTGCTGGGTTGCCTAGTTAAAACTTTTGTCAGTCGGGCTTAAAGGATGAGCTGACTGTGCATTGTGTTATAATTAGAACTGGACCTGAATTTAGAAGACTGGATTATGCTGAAATGAATTTGCCTGACAGAAATTGCATCCGCACCATTGTGAATTTTACATAACTGGAGGCGAATTGAATCTGTTTGCACTGGGAGATACATGTTTAGATGACATTTGCTGTAAATCTTTGCTGTATACAGTGCCCTGTAAAGATATTCTCTTTAAATATTCAAATTTGGCCCCCTTTATGGAAGTATTTTTTAGGGGGGTGGCGGGAGGGGTAGATTTAGGTTTCATTTTTTCCTTTCACTTCACAATTAGGAGCTGCTTTGTGTTGGTTTCTCACATAGGATCTTGATAAAATACAGTGAAGTTTGTAGCTGTACCATGACAAAATGTGCAAAAGCTCAAAGTCTAGGAAAGGTTTTGCAAAGCAATGTAAATAAATTGAACTTAAATGAATAAGGATCTGGAAATATAACTAAAATTAACTCTAAATTTGATGTTCCATATCTTTTCACTGCTGTTTTACAGGTAGAGTGGAGGCCACTGGTCCTTGAAAACCATGGATGGACTTTACTTTGATGTGAAACCAAAAGGAAGTGAAGCCCAGAGGCCACGAAGCTCTGAGAAAACGCGACATAATCTAACCCCGAACCATCGCTCGTGTCCCTCCCTTTCACGCCTCACCTCTGCGGCTCAGACTCCCCAGAAATGTGCCGGTGCTTGGGAGAGGGGAGCGCCATGGAGGGGGCAGATGGACGAAGAAGAGATAAGATACCAACTGACAATGATTGGTTTCAGGGCAGTTCACCACCTGACCACCATGGCCATGCTGCCCTGGGTGGTGGCAGAGATCTGCAGGTCCTCCAAGAAGGATCCGGGTGCTGGGCCGCATCATGCTGCAAGAGGTTCTCCGTCATGCAGTAATAAGACTGTGCTTCTGTGTGTGTCTGCATCCTGGGTGCGGTGTGTGTCCGTCCCGGCTGAGCGCCGTCTCTGGGACCCTCTGACACACACGGTGCTGTTTGAATGTCGTCCTCATCAAGTGACCAAGTTAATTCACAACAGCCAGGAGCCCAGTGTCTTTGCCTGCCTGGTGAAAGACTCGCTGAAGTGTGCCTGCTACGTCTTCCAGGACCTGGACAGCACCAAGGTAGGCACCTGTGGGAATAAAGAGTGTCACAACATGTGCAAATGTGTGCAGGGAAACATGAGTACATACTTATTGTAAATGCATGTAGAATAGTTCTTTAACTTTTTCATATTTATTCACCTAACCTACAAACTTTAGTTTGCTTTATTTGAGCTTTATTTGACCAACACAGAGTAGCGCACATTCAGAACTGTCACAAATAAAAAATCTTAAATGTGTGGCATTTGGACTGAGTCCCCTTTTACTTCGACACTCCTAAATAAAATCTGGTGCACCCAGTTGCTTCAGAAGTTAGAGTTCACCTGCATATTTAATTTAATCTTAGTGTATCTACATCTGTTCTACTAAGGCATCAGAGTTTTTTTGGAGAACATTGATGTACAAGTGCATCAAGACCAAAGCCACACCAAGGTAGGCACCTGTGGGAATTAAATCAACGTTAGGTTATAAAATATAGCAAGGTTTAACTTCTCATTCAGCTTTTTTTTTCAATTCATCATCTGAAAACCAAAAAATATTATACAACTGCAAGCTGATTATGGTACAGCCGCTCACCTAAGCTGTGAAAATAGAGGATATAATTCCAACAAGCTGCCAACTATAGTGCTGTCCTCCACAGATCTGGCCTTTAACGCAACTTTGGCAAAAAGCAGGTAATGTTGGGATTCAACAAACATGTAGAAAAAGGGGCTGTGGTCTTATGGCTTCTTGATCTGCATAAGAAATGCAGTTTTTAGTGGAAAACCATCACTGCACATCACTCTGAACGCAGCATCTTCATTGTGAAACATGTTAACGGCAGAATCCTTCTTTTCTTTATAGACGGAGAGCTGTAGCTAAATGTAGGGCAATCCTGGAAATCTGTCAGACTGAGGTGAAAGTTCACCTTCCAGCAGGATCATGACCCTAAACATAGCACCAGAGCTACAATGGGATCAAAGTATGGTTCAATATTACATTGGTCCTGTTAAAGTCTAGCTCTATATCCAGATAAAAATCTGTGGCAAAACTTAAAAATAGACATTAACAGGTGCTCTTATTCCAATCTTCAGCTATTTTGCAAAAGAAGAAAGGCCAAAGATTACAGTGTCCAAGTGTGCAACACTGGTGCAGACATACCCATAAAGACTTGAAGCTCTAACTGCACACAACTATAAAACTACTGGTTTCTTTTCATTTTATAAAAACACAGCACTTTGTGTTGGTCTGTCACCATTCCAATAAAATATTCTAAAGCCTTGGTTGGTTACATGACAAAATGTGGAAAAGTTAAAGAGGTTTGAATATTTCTGCCAGGTTCTTTAGATATCTGCATTATAACTAGCTGGTCCTGATGACTAGATGATCATTTTCTTTTATTCCTTTGAATAAATGTCCTCAAAGTATTAATTTCGCTCAAGTTTACTTAAATCAACATGATAAAGACAGAAATTAGGTTTAGGTCTGCTGCAAGTCTTGGTGAGACTGAACTGAAGTTAAGCAGGTGATAGAAAAGTTGAGGATCCAGACTCAGGAAGCAGCAGGTGAAAAACAAACACAGCTTTGTTGACTTATCGAAACTAAAAGCACAAAGTGTCGATGGAGAAAGTAAACAAGACTAAACCGTAAATGACAGAGATCTGAAATAGCAGAGTGGATTAAGGAACTTCACCCAAGGTGGACACAGTGGCAATCATCAAACAGGCAGAATGTATACAGATGGGAGATAATGGCTAAATAACAGCAGCTGAATGACTGCAATCAGTGACTGAGGCCGGATGGTAGATACACATGGTGAAAGAAATACTGAGAAAAATTATAAACATGAAAATAACAGCGCAGACCAATCAAACCAAGGTAAATCTAGATGACTGTAATACCAAAGAGATTATGACAGCTTAACTCTAGATTGCACACATGGTGTTGGAGGGGCTAGAAGTTCAGATCAGCCCAGTTTCAGCTCATCCACTAGACTTCAATCCTATAACTGCTTGGAGACAGATGAAGATTTTGAGTAAATATGTAACTATCCTTTCTCAGATTTGTATTTTGCTATTTATTGGCGTGATCTGATGAACAAACTCTCTTCATGTCAGCAAAGAGCAGTTTCCACTTAAAGTGAACATCCCAGGGACCATTTCTGAAGTAAATCTAGCTCTAAACTCTTTCAGTAAGCTTGTTAACAACAAAATAAGAAAGAAAAAAAAACAACCTGGTGCACATTTACATAAGTGATGTAACTCTACCCCGGATGTCATTTTTCATCCGATCTCTTTTCTTTCTCAACATGAAGTCTGATAAGTGAAGCAAGTGAGGCCTGTAGTGCTCTAGAGTTTGTTCCTGGATTTTCTGTGACCTCCCAGTTGAGTCATTTTGGTTAGGCCAGCCACTCCTAGAAACCTTCACCACTGCCCCACACTCTTCTCCTTTTATGGATAATGGTTTTTACTGTGGTTGACTGGAGTCCCAGTTATGTTTCCACATAGCACCATGCTGACGTCTACTTCCAGAACTCATTCGACATTATACGGCATAACTCTAAAGGTGACATGAATTATGACCTTTAAACCAAATCTAAGAGGATGTCCCAGCTACTCTCCAGACTATATGCATTTTCATAAACCAAAAGGAGCTCTCCCAGAATAGGTAATAAACACATCAACACAAGCTCCAGCTGTAAATATCAATTCGGTTTATAAGATATATGGCATGTCGGATGGAGATGGGAATTAAGAGCAAGGGTCAGTGTGGCAGGGACTATATTTGTTCTTTGTGTTTATTTATATGACAAAAAGCTGGCTGGAGGCTCAGTGTGACTGCATTGGTATTTAATCGGACATCCTTCTGCAGCCCACCTACGCTGGGCTTTTATCCCATTCGTCACCACACATAGCACTGTGTGTACACTGACACACTCTGCTGACCTCCAATCCTTTCAACTTTCCTCCACATGGCGTGAGTTTCCAAAAGCCTCTGTAGGATCAGCAGAGCTGCAGCTGCTGCGGGCGTCGGGTCAGAGACATCAGATAGCATCCCACGGCTCAACATACCAGAGACAATGAGGGATATTAGACGCGAAGCTAAAGGAAGATGCAAAGCAAAATGTCAGTATGACCTTAACCCCTACGTCCCCCTTGCTGCTCACATGATACATGCGCGCATGTTCTGAGACTGGGGGGTCATATAACAAATACCTGCATGCTTCGGCCAGCTGTGAGCACAGCCTCCATGTGCTGTGGAGTGTACTGTAAATACTACTGAGCGTACGCCGTAGCAGAAATAAACACAGACTTTAGAAGTCTTAGCGTGTTTCTGGGGTTTCTTGCCTGAGAGAAAAGGAGAGTGCATCATGTCGCCCATGCCAGGATATGAAACCATGTTACCATGGAGACCACTTCCTGTCATAGTGTGTTTGTTGTGGAGTTTATGAGCGCGTGAGTGCTTGTTGTTCTAGCTATGCTCTTAGTCCTGTTAGAAATGTGAGGACGATGGTGGCGATGATGTCAGACTGACCACCTGTTGTGATCCGGTTCTGTCAAGCTGGGCTTTAACACACACACACACACACACGCACACACGTAGATCTGCTTTTAATGAAGGCAATAATTACAAGGCAGTGTGGGATTGTCATACAGCTTTGTTTTTCACTTTATAAAACAGCATTATTAAAACATATTTTAGAGGTTTTCTAACCCACAAATGACGTAAATACTAAACTAGTCTGGCTATTTGCAAATGTTAAGACTAAAACGTTTACTCTGAGTTTACGCCACAACTAGAGAACAACACAAACACGGCTGATAAATTGTCAGTATAGCTTTCACTTAAGTGAAGATATAATGTAGATAATATTGGATTCTCACAATATGATGTCCTTGGGTAAAAATACCACAGTGTAATGGCATTGATGCAATAATGTAATGAAAAATATATATGCAATCCTGTCTGAAAAACACTTTTGACATTGGATGTAAATAACTAAGATCGGAATTTGCTGTAGGTATAAATCCCAGTCAAAGTCCCACCTATGGTAAAATATATTATTAGCATGCAGAGTTCTAAAGCACAGAAGTAAAATATCCCACTAAATACTGCATCCCAGAAATCCCTTTGGAATGCAGCATATCACCTACCGATTTTAGGATGTTTGGAGAAAGAACCATATGAGAGACTAATGGGTTTAAATAGTCTGAGAGATATGGGGAGGTCTTACAGACTTAAGGAACAAAGAACAAAGGATCAATACATTTTCTGCTTCTGGTCTCAGGAATATGAATTTGTGCAACATTTTAACGAGCCCTTGGTGCAGACGCATGGCTAGATGGACAAAGCTGTTGCATAATCAAGTCTGGATGAAAGAGTCTTAAATTAGCATCTCTGCATCAACAAAGATAAATCTCAAAGCTGTCCAAAAAACCTGTTCAGTGGTCATACTGGTGTCAAGGCTGTTGGCAGAATGTTTAACTAGAAACACATTACACACTAAATGACATTTTAGAAAGCATTTTCTTTATTTATTCTTATTTAATTCTGTTGAGAGAAATGTGAAGACTTTCACACGTCGTTGAGGATGGAAAGCCTCCTTGTCATCACCCTAATCTTTAGCTCCCTCCTCAGATATTCTGTCATATTCTAATCAGGACTGTGGGTAGGCCACTAAAATGTATTTAGCACTTCTAGTCAATCTACATGAGTATGAACTATAGGCTTTACTGGCTGCAACAGAAGCCCAAAACATCAGCACTCTGCCTTTGTGTTTAAAAGCTGGAGTCATGTTCTTTTCGTACTATTTGGTGTATTCTTGTGTTTTTCATTTTATCAGCATTTAGATTTTGTTGCCTAAACTACATTAAGCTTAAATAAAGGTTGTGTTTCAAGCTCCGGAGATTATCTTTGTATTTTGCAAACATGCAGAAAATGTCCTCCATGACGAGGACATGTTTTGTTTACTGAACATGAGAACCACTACAACGTATGACCAGAAAGTTTGTATTACATTACAAACTGAGCAAGCTGCTACC